CTACACCTACGTCTACACCTCTACCTACATCTACATCTACACTTATGTCTACACCTACATCTACACCTATGTCTCTACCTACATTTGTACTATGGCTACACCTACATCTACACCTACAGCTAAGTGTACATCTACATCTACACCTACACCTACGTCTACATCTATACCTACTTCTACACCCACACTGACACCTACATCTACATCTACGCCTACACCTACATCTACACTTACGTCTACATCTACATCTACACCCACACCTACATCTACACCCACACCCACACCTACACTTACACACTAGAGACACATGATGAGAGGACATATCCGGAGCGGTGCTCTAGGGCCTGCTTCCTGCTGGGTGGGGACAGATGATGTCTGTGTTTACACCTACTCCTATATCTACACCTATACCTATAGCCACATCTGTATGTCTGTGTTTACACCTGTACCCACATCTACACCTACGTCTGCACCTACACCTACATCCATACCTACATCTACAGTCTCACAGGGCCAAACCCCGGTTTGCCAACAGCTGACCTGTTACCAGCAGCCCCAGCCCTGGTAGCTCCCTACAGCCAAGTGCACCATCTCTGGCAGTCTGTGTAGACCTGCACCATGTGCCTCCCTGTCAAGCCTTCAATGTCAGGGAGGGATGTGGCTAGATGGACACGAGAGAGCTGAGGGGTAGCCACCAGATGGGCAGGGCCCACACACGGCTGGGGCAGAGGTGGGAGCAGTGTAGGGCAGGGACCGTGGCGTAAGGCCCCCTCCCTGGCCCCTCACACACCCGTGCCCTCCGTGCCCCTGGTCCCCTCCCAGGCCCCTCACACACCCATGCCCTCCTTGCCCCTGGGTCCCCCCTCCCTGGCCCCTTGCACACATGTGTCCTCTGTGCCCCTGGGTCCCTTCCCTGGCCCCTCAAACACCTGTGCCATCCGTGCCCCTGGGTCCCCTCCCTGGCCCCTCGCACACCCGTGCCCTCCGTGCCCCTGGTCCCCTCCCAGGCCCCTCACACACCTGTGCCGTCCGTGCCCCTGGGTCCCTTCCCTGGCCCCTCGCACACCTGTGCCCTCCGTGTCCCTGGGTCCCCTGGCCCCTCACACACCTGTGCCCTCCTTGCCCCTGGGTCCCCCCTCCCTGGCCCCTTGCACACATGTGTCCTCTGTGCCGCTGGGTCCCCTCCCTGGCCCCTCAAACACCTGTGCCCTCCGTGCCCCTGGGTCCCCTCCCTGGCCCCTCAAACACCTGTGCCCTCCGTGCCCCTGGGTCCCCTCCCTGGCCCCTCAAACACCTGTGCCCTCCGTGCCCCTGGGTCCCCTCCCTGGCCCCTCAAACACCTGTGCCCTCCGTGCCCCTGGGTCCCCTCCCTGGCCCCTCAAACACCTGTGCCCTCCGTGCCCCTGGGTCCCCTCCCTGGCCCCTCAAACACCTGTGCCCTCCGTGCCCCTGGGTCCCCTCCCTGGCCCCTCACACACCTGTGCCCTCCATGCCCACAGCCTGATGGTTACGCTTCGCTGCCAAGTGCACATGGAGATGGCACACATCGAGGAGGACGAGGACCGCCTGGAGCCCGCCCTGGAGCACCTGCAGAAGGCCATGCGCCTGGACAGCCTGGGCCTCTACCAGGACCAGCTCAGGATGGCCTCCAACCGCCTACACCTGTGCACCATGCTCTACCAGTCACCTGAGCGTGCGGAGGACAAAGCCATCCTGGCCATTGAGCAGGTCCCCTGCCCCGTCCTGCCAAGCTCTGGGGAAATGGGTGGAATGCTGCTTAGAGCCGGGAGGAGTGTCTTCCCGGAATGGACACCGTGGCCGGGGGTGGGGGGTAGGAGGGGTGGGTCGTTGGGGATGCGGGGCCCAGGAGGGCAGGAGTCTCTCCACACTGTGCCATGTTTGGGGGCATGAGGACCCACACGGCCTGTTCCTACAGCAGCTGGAGAAGGTGTCCTTCAGATCAGACGACATGCTTACCACTCATCTTCCTCCCTGCAGGCGAAGAAGGCCATGCCCAAGGACAGTGTCCGGAAGAAGCGGGCCCTCCTGGTGAACGCTGGCCTGGCCCTGGCACCTGACGCTTTCCAGATAGTGCTGGACAGCGAGAACGAGGCCAAAGGTGGGTGTGCGGGTGGAGGATTCAGGGACGGGGGGCTGAAATGAGGCTGATGAAGGTGCAGTGGCTCCAAGGACACGGAGGATGTCACACTGCAAGGACACAGCCAGCTTGGCTGAGGTGCCATCGAGGAAGTGCCTCACACAGGCCCAGAGGGAAGCAGCTTCAAGGGCAGCCGGGGTGGTGCCCATGGCAGCTGACACGGCCCCCGCTGGCTCATGCAGCCCCCGGCTTCACGCGGCGCCCACTGGTTCACATGGCCCTGAGTTCACATGCCCCCCCCAGGTTAATGCAGCCCCTGAGTTCACATGGCCCCCCCAGGTTAATGTAACCCCTGAGTTCATGCAGCTGCCCCCCAAGTTAATGCAGCCCCTGAGTTCACACACACTCCCCCAGGTTCACACGGCCTCCCTGAGTTAATTCGGCCCCCAGGTTTCCATGGCCTCAGGGTTCACACGCCCCCCCTCCCATGTTCAAACAGTGCCCCCCCCCGGGTTAATGTGGACCCCAGGTTAATGTGAACCCCGCGTTAATGTGGACCCCAAACTCACACCGCCACCCCCGCCCCAAGTTAATGTGGCCCTCGAGTTCACAGCCACTGGGTTCACACACCTCCTCCCCTGGCTCACATGGCCCCTGCTGGCAGCCGAGTCATTGCCACGCGGTTGGTCCTGGAGCACAGGGCTCACCGTCTGTGTCTCTGTCTTCATTCTCAGTCTCCACTGGGAAAATCAGGAGCCGGTTCTCCCACCTCTTTGCCAAAGCTCGTCACTACATCATCAGTGTGGACAAAGCTGCTGGACACTCACGGCGTTTGGGGAACGAGAATGACAAGGAAAGGTAAGCCCTCCCCTCCCCGGGAGGCCCCCACCACCCAGAGCCGCCTGCCCTCCCCGTGCCCAGCACTGAGCCCTGCCGCCCCCGGGGAGGCCCCCACCACTGAGAGCCGCCTGCCTGCCATGCACCCCAGCGCTGAGCATTGATTTGCCTCAAGGTCGGGGCAGATGACCCAGCCAGGAAGATAAGCACGGCCTTACTTGTGCTTACTCCCTAATCCGTAGTAAACAATTTCACATGGGTTTTACCACATTTTTTATGTGGAATTGTTCACTACAGATGGTCTGGTAAGCAAGGTAAGCACCGTGCTTACCTTGTCTATTGGATAATCTGCCCCTGCTCAAGTGGCGCCTTCCAGCTCTGGAACAGTAAAACCAACAAATGGCTTTTTCTGGAAAGCACTGGTTCTAGGTGTTTTCTGATTTACCGAGGATGTCTGCATTTCCCTTTTCGGCTGGGTCTTTTGCTGCACAGAATACAGATCTGGGCCGAGTTAGCCAAAGTGGCGCGGAAGCAAGGCGTATGGGACGTATGCCGCTCGGCGAGCCGGTTCTGCCTGCTGTACGACAATGTCAAGGCCAAGAAGCCGCCCAGGATAAAGCGAGGTGCGTGCGGCGGCCACACGGTGGTCCAAGCTGTCAGGAATGCCCACGCGATTGTGGACGGGAAGGTGGAGAGGACAAGGTGGGGGCCCCGGTGCCACGCCAGCCCCCGACCCCACGCCAGCCCCCGACCCCACGCCAGCCCCCGGCCCCGGTGAGGGCAGAACTGCACCCAGGTCTACAGAGTCCCACAGACGGCCGGGTGGGCGGGTGGCCTCACAGACAGGGCTAGGATCTGGTCCTGTCGTCAGCCAGAGGACCAGCCCTCGCGTCCTCTCATGGGGGTGGGGGGGAGGGGCTTCAAATGTGAGATGGAGATTTCAGCTGTGCTCACAGCTGCCTGCAGCTAGCTGTCTGTGATAATAACACCGACTGGTTCCTGGGCTCCCTGTGCCAGGCTCTGCGCCAGCGGCTGCGAGCAGGTCTGTGTCATTCCTGCCGTCCTCAGCCCGTCTGTGAGGGCTGGGACTGAACGTCTGCAGCTGGGGAGAGAGACGACACTGAGTGGGGCTTGGGGACACTGTGTTGGCGCCCCTGCCTGTGCTGGGGGTGAGGAGCCTGCAGGGCGGGGCTGAGGCTGGCGGTGTGGAGCAGCCCCCTGTCCTCCCAGGCAGAGCAGTTTCCCAGAACAAGGTGGGAGGCAGGCAGAGCCGAGGGCCAGGCATGTGGTGAGGCCAGCTCAGCGTGCTGCCCGGGGGGGCTCTGGTCAAGGTGAGGGTCAGGACACAAAGGGAGCACGGGGGCGTCTGGTGGGAAGCGGGTGGACCAGGCATCCTGCACGGTGAGTCAGGTGGCCCGAGAAGGCACAGGACCTGGTGCACAGGCTGGCCGGGCTGGGTGCCCCCGAGTGGAGAGAATGCTGAACAGGACCCAAGTTGCCATCGGGGATTGGCTCCCGCCCACTGTCGGGGTTGGCCCTGCGTGGGCCAGGGTGGGCTGGGACTCTGCGTCTGACTGTGTCACAGGAGAGACGCCCGTGCCTTCCAGCCGACACGGTGCTGTGTTCCCCAGGGAAGAAGAAGCGAGGCCCTGAGAGCTCCATGCACGGCAGCTGGGGACAGTCGGAGCTCACCCTGCATCGGCAGGAGGCCCCCAACCTGCTGCGGAAGTTTGCCGAGGTGGGCTTCATCAATGCCGAGGTGAGTGCTGGTGTAGCCATCCATGTCCTCCCGGTCCATGGCTCATGTCCGTGTGTCCTCAGTGTGTCAAGTCTGTGTGTCCTCCTGGTCCGCTGCACATCCGTACATCCTGGGTGCAGTGTGATGCATCCACGTGTCCTCCTGGTCCACTGCACATCCATATGTCCTCGGTGCAGAGTGACGCATCCATGTGTCCTCCTGGTCCACTGCACATCCATATGTCCTCGGTGCAGAGTGACGCATCCATGTGTCCTCCTGGTCCACTGCACATCCATATGTCCTCGGTGCAGAGTGATGCATCCATGTGTCCTCCTGGTCCACTGCACATCTGTACATCTTCAGTACAGTGTGACGCATCCCTGTGTCCTCCTGGTCCACTGCACATCTGTACATCCTCGGTGCAGTGTGACGCATCCATGTGTCCTCCTGGTCCACTGCACATCTTTGTGTCCTCCTGGTCCACTGCACATCTGTACATCCTCGGTGCAGTGTGATGCATCCATGTGTCCTCCTGGTCCACTGCACATCTGTATGTCCTCGGTGCAGGATGATGCATCCATGTGTCCTCCCAGTCCACAGCTCATGTCCAAGTGTCCTTACAGCCACTGCAAATCTGTATGTCCTTGGTGCAGCGTGACGCATCCATGTGTCTTCCTGGTCCACTGCACATCTGTATGTCCTGGGTGTGGTGGGTCAGAAAGCTCCCGATGGTCAGCCACTTAGTGTACATCAGATGCGCACCCACATGCCAGCCCTCTGTGTGCAGGACACAGGACAGCCAGAGTAGGCTGCTGTGCCGGGAAGTTGACGGTGGTGGTGGGGACAGTAAGCGAGGGCACAGGCATCACGTCTGCTCCAGAGGTCACTGCCTTCGACGCAGCCTTCTGTCCAGCCAACCCACCTCCCAGAGTGTCCCCATCCACCTGTGCCTGATGGGCTTGGAGACCACGAGGGCGCCAGGCACATCTGTGGCTCGTCTCTGGGGCCCCACAGTGGGCCGGCTGCTTTTAAAGAGAAGTGAGCCTGGTGGAAGAAGGACATGCTGGCAGGAGCCCGGTGGTGCAGCCCCGCGTGGTGGGGACCGAGTCCCCGGCTCACTGTGCCCTCCCTGCCTGTGTGGGTGTTTGGTGTTCTCACGTCAACGCCTGAAGACAGAGGGACAAGTGGCAGCCAGCATGGTGACGGCTCTCACTTGCTCGCTCTGCAGGCCACAGTCCATCTGCTACGGTCGGAAGGGGTACAGCTCAACGACCGCCCCATCCCGCCAGAGGACTTGAGCCAGCACCCAGCCGGCTATGTGGCCACACCCCCGGAGGAGAACTCGGAGTGGATCACATACAGGTAGGGGCTCCGCCAGCGTCCATCCTCAGACAGTAGCCTGCAGGGTGCCCAGGGCTGCGCTCTGTCCTCTGCACCTTCGGAACGATGTGGAGGGACGTCCTGGGGTGCGGCCCGCTTCATGGTGAGGGACAGGGAGCCATCCCCACACGAATCACTGAGATCATCAAGCACAAGACAGGACGACAGATGACGTGATCTAGAATTCAGCTGCGTATCCTGGCCAGACAGAAAGCTCAGATCACCATTACTGACGAGTCCAGTAACAAGCTCATCTTTCCTCAAGGCTCTTAAATTCAGACTTTGGTTTTCTTCTTCTGTCTCATTATTTGGGAAAACAGGGTCGCTAGGAGTCAGAATTGACTCGACAGCAACAGGTTTTGTTTGGGTTTCTTTTTAGGGAGATAGTATTAGTGGTGGAAAATGTAAGAAAAAAGCAGTTCTTCAAACTTGCTCAGAGGAAATCTCTGATCCAGGTCTCGTTACGGTGAAGTTGTCAAGGAATGCTCGCGCATTCCGCAGTAGCCCTTGGCATGCAGGTAGGAAGGAGCAGTTTGTGTACAAACTCCTAAATGCTTGGCCCGCCTGAGCATCCAAGTCCAAAAGCAGCCGTGGCATTGAGGTGCTGTGTGCCCCTAAAACACTGTAAGCCGTGGAGCATTCTTCTGTTACGGAGGCTGAGCGTTACTGTGCTCACCACTACACAGTGTCGGGAGAAAGGCCCTTTCTTCCTGATGGCTTGCCTGGTAGACAGGCCCCCGCTCACATGCCCCGCACCCCCTCCGCGGTGTGGGGGGGGGGGTCTCCCTGCCCCTGTGCCTTCAGAGAAGGGACGGACAGCACAGCCGTCCATTTTGTGCAAATGAAATGCCGCTGAGCACTTTCCGTCACCTCCCTACACAGCTTCAGAGCTCAGGGAAGTGCAGTCCCCGCCCTCGGGAGTGCTGTGACCCAGGTCTCCCATGGCTGCCCTTACCAAGGGGGCTAGGTGCGGGGTGGGGGGAAGGTGCTGGGTGCTGGTTGCAGGAGGGGGAAGCTGAGTGCAGGGAGGAGGGTGCTGGGTGTGGGGGTCTGGACATGGGAGCGCTGGCCGGGGGGCACTCATTGGGAGGCTGGGCTCGGGGTCAAATCTGGGCTCAGGGGCAGGTGAGGGCACCGGGGAAGGTCCAGGCTCGGGGGGCAGATCTGGGCTCGGGGGCAGGTCTGGGAGAGGGGGCAGGTCTGGGCTCAGGAGGCAGGTCTGGGCAAGGGGGGCAGGTCTGGGAGAGGGGGCAGGTCTGGGCTCAGGAGGCAGGTCTGGGCAAGGGGGGCAGGTCTGGGCTCAGGAGGCAGGTGTGGGCTCAGGGGCAGGTCTGGGCACGGGGGCAGTTGCAGAGGCGGTGGGCAGCCTGGGCAGAGTCTGTTCTGGGAGTGGTGAGGGAGGCAGGAAAGGTTTGCAGGCAGCAAGGGGTAGGCCTGAGCTCCCGGGCCGAGCAGAGGGTCCAGGTTAGGGCTGGAGGTGAGCAGGGCAGGGTGGTCATAGAGGTTGGCAGAGCTGGCCCAGGCCCAGATGTACTGGGGAAGCAGTGGTCAGGGAGGGGGCGGGGTGTAGGGGTGAGGGCAGAGGGCCCTCTGCTCTGTGCAGCCCCCAAGGGACACCCCCTGGGCCCCAAGGCCCCCAAAACAGCCTGGAGGGCCTCAGCCGGGAGAGGCAGCTGCGTCCACACCCCCCTCCCCGCCGGCCTGTTCTGGAAGGCTCTGTCGCAAACCCTGTCTTGTGCTGTGCGTTGGTAGCACCTGGATCGAGAACCTGTCTCAGTACGCCATGAGCAACTGGCTGCGCTCTGCGGAGATCGGGCGGGAGCTCCGGGAGGCCTGGCTCGTGCAGAACGCCGTGGTCTACATGCTGAACCACAATCACCACCTCATTTCTGCCGGCCGCCAGAGGGAGCTGGTGGACGCGCTCCACGCGCTCTTGAACATCGTCAAGGCCACTGGCCACAACGGGTGGGTGGACCGGCGCAGGCGTACACCTGGCGCTGCCAGCTCACTCCCATCCCCTCCCGCTGCAGGCCCAACGTCCCCAAGCTGGCGGGAGGACCTGGGCCGTGTGTCGGGAGAGGCGGGTGGCCGTGTGCCTGTGGCTCTGCTCTGGACTAGGACTGGACGTTGACTCACCGCTGCTGGACGCAGAGGCCGTTCTGGCAGCTCTGAGTATTTTGGTGTGTTAGCATTCTCAGTGAGAAACAGGGCGGCCCTGGTCTAAACCCGTCTGCTTCCGTAGAGATTACAGCCAAGATGTCCTTATGGGGCAGTTCTACTCTGTAACACGTGGGGTCATCATGAGTCAGAGTCGACTCCACAGCAGTGGGTTTTGACTTGGTGGTGGGCCCAAAGGTTCATCGTGTTCCTAATCGCCCCTGGGCGCTCCCCCAGGGGAGCAGTGGGAGATGTGGGCTTCATGCTGTCCTGCTGCAATGTCCCCTGGGGACACAGCCCCACCCATAACGACATCACAGTCCCGAGGAGGGGAGAGACGTTGCCGCCGTGGCTGTGGGAGGCCTGAGCGCAGCTGCTCCTGCCGGTGGTGACATGCGGAATCGGCGCACACACTCTGTCCCTCCACTTCTAAGCCCTCACCCCTGCACCCTGCACTAGCCAGCCGCGCTTAGAGAAGCACAGCTGGCCACCGAGCTGGCACTGGGCACCTTTCCACCCTGTAATGCCCTCCTTTTCCAGGGACCCGGTCACCCTGGCAATGCTCTGCAACGCCCTGGCTCGAGGTCTGATTCTCAGCTGGATTCCCACCCAGGCGTCGGAGAAGTCCAAGAGGTTCATGCGAGCGAACCTGTTCCATGCGGCCCTGGACTCGGGCGCTACCTCTGAGATCAGGACTGCGGTGGAGGTTTGCGCCTTGACGCCTGTCAGGTTGGGTGGCTGAGACCAGCGGTAGGGACCGGGCGACTGCTGAAGGAGAGGGCCCCAGACGGTAACGTGGTGGAAGGCCCTAGGTAGAGCCATACGGGAAGGGAGGCTGGCGGGAGCTGCAGCGGCTGGGGTATGGAGGGTGGGGAGGAGGGACACGAGAGCCGCCGGCGGCAGCAGGCAGGCGGGAACGTGCCTGTGCAGGGTGCATCGTTCCCCACCGGAGAGAAAGATGAATGTGAGACTAGAGAAGAAATGCATTAAAATAATGAGAACACAGACCAACGCGCACGGCAGAAATGCGACAATCCCAAATAAAATATCGGAGTGTGATAATCCATCACCCATTTCTAATTCAAAAAAATCTTAGCGAACCCGGGAGAGAAACAAATTCCTTAATGAGTTTGCGGGAACCTTCTGGAAGCCTGGAGCTGCACTGGGTACAGGCTCTGTGGTGGTCCTGCTGGCCCCACAAGACAAGAAAAGGAGGCGGGAGTAGAGAGCCCCAGGCTTGCGGTGTGGGACAGGGCCTGCTGTGACCGCCTCGGGGGCGGGGCCGTGGTGAGCAGAGCCTCGGGGCGTGGTGAGCAGAGCCTCGGGGGCGCGCCGTGACCCCCTTGGGTGTGTTCTGTGAGCAGAGCCTCGGGGTGTGCTGTGACCCCCTCAGGCCGGTGGTGAGCAGAGCCTCGGGGCGTGGTGGGCAGAGCCTCGGGGGCGCGCCGTGACCCCCTTGGGTGTGTTCTGTGAGCAGAGCCGTCAGGACCTGCTCTGGCTGCCGTCTTCGCAGTGTCCACGTGCGACTGCACGCGGCCCAAACCGATCAGAGCCGGGGAAGAGGGCCCTGGGGTGGCGGCTGGTGCTGGGGGCTGGCTCTGAGGAAGTGGGTGTGGGGGCAGGGTGGGGCACCCGAGTGCACCCCTGGGTTTCTAGTTGGCTGTGTCTGTCCGGCGCTGGGTGTGGAGGTCTCGGGGGTGGACAGTTGTCAGGCCTGCAGCCGTGGGCTGCCTCAGAGTTTCTTCATCTCAGAAGGGAGAAGGTGCACGAATGAGATGCATAAGGGATCATCCTCGGAGGGAATAGTCGCAGACTCTGGGCTGGAAAGGGGGAGCTGGTGGGAGACAGAAAGATGGGCAGTGGGTGGGGGAGTCAGTGAAGGCCCAGGGTGGCGTGGGGCGCGTGATGGGGTGTGGGGGAGCCACAGGGGGAGGGATGATGTGGGAGGGAGGGGCCTTGGTCAGCCAGTGAGGGGGCTGGGACCCCGGCCAGTCCTCAGGCGCCTGTCCTCAGTGTCTGCCAGCTCCCGCAGGACAGCCCCAGCCCGTCATCACTGTGTGACTTCGGGCGAGCTTCTTGCCCTTTCTGCCTCAGTTTCCCATGTGTACATTGGGATAACAGTGCCTCCCGTGGTCGTGGCAGTGATTCAAGGGTGAGAGTGTGTACCGACAAGGTCAGTGCCGGCAGGGATGGGCCGGTGGGGTCTATGCACTGTGGTTACTATGACTGCCGCCGCGGGGCCAGGAGAGGTGAGGGACTGGGGGAAAAGCGGTGTCCCCAGGCCTAACCGTGCCTGCGGTCCCCGCGAGTGTGCTCTGGGAGAGACGCGATTCACATAGTTTCTCGTGTTTTGGGTCTGGGCCGAGGCAGCAGCTCGGGACTGGCTGTGCACGGATGCGCTGTTCTTCCAGGTCTGCGAGTTTGCCCTGAACCTGACCAACGGGAGCGTGCCCGAGGACGTGGTGCCCACCGGCGTCCGGCACCAGCTCATCGCCACCTGGGTGAAGGCCAAGCAGCTGGTGCAGCAGCAGATTGGGCCCCGGCTGGGCACGGACGACCCGGTGCGCGGCCCCACACGGCCCGACCCCAGGGGCTCCGTGGGGCATGACCCCCACGTGTCCCAACCCCAGGGGACCTGGGAGGCGCAGCCCCGTCTCTGCTTTGGGAGGCAGCAGCCATGAAGAGTGCTGCATGTTAGCTTCAAAAGGTCATTTCCCTCCAAGGAAGGTTTGGGCCCTGTTTTCCCACCAAGGTAGCTGTCCCGGGGCCCTCTCAAGATGGGACAAGAGGCTTCCTCTGTCCCCTCAGAGCACAGGTGTCCCTTTCCTCCCTCATCCCCTCACAGCTGGACATGCATGTCACCGAGGGCTGTGGGGCCCTGGGAGGCCGTCTCACCCTCAGCCCCACTAGCTGTGGCTTTGGCAGGGAGCCCCTGAGCATGGCCTCAGAGGGCAGTGGGAGCAGGGTTGGGGAGGCAGGTGGTGGCCCCCACCCCACCTCAGCCTGGGCTCAGGTAAACCTCTGCTCCTGCAAGCTTGAGGCCACACGAGCCGCAGAATGCTAGACGGGCGCCCCCACTCCCTACACCCCCATCCACCACCCCTTATGTGCCAGGGCGTGTGGTTCTGGGGGGCGGGACAGGAGGTGGCCTCTGTGCTGGGCCGAGTGGTGGGCGGGATTGGAGACAAACGTTTATGGAAATGGCACGACAGTAAACGCTCAGAGGGCGGGGTCTGATAGCTGCCACGTGACTGACACTTACGGGGCTCGGCATCTCAGTGTTCAGCTGTGGAACCCGCCTCTGCTTCCCTCCCCAGAGCGTGAGTGAGCACATCAACTCGGTGACGAAGGTGCTTGTCGCTGTGGAGATGTACTCGTGCAACGGGCTGGGCCTCATGGATTTCAGTGTGCCCCCCCTGGCGCAGGTAGGTGTCACCTGTCTAACACTTGACCAGTCTGCTGAGAGTCTAACCCCACCTGAGTAAAAAGTTTCCAAGAATGACACTTGCTGGTATTGCCGAGGGCTATGGCAAGCCAAGAGCTCCGATGCAGCATCTCCCACAAACCCAAGGGGGGCGCTTCACGGAGGAGGAAACTCAGGTTCAGAAGGGCCCCACCCGAGGTGACACCGCTGCCAGGTGCCAGGCCCAGAACCACGTCCCCACGCGGCACTCTGTTCCCCTCTGAACATGCAGAATTTCGTTTAATCCTGCAGCACCCTCCCTCCTGCCCTCTCCTACCTGCCATCCCTGTTCCCAAGACATGTCCTTGGCTGACAGTCACCAGCCTCAGGAACCAGCTTCTGTGCATGTCGGTGCCCATGATCCTTCACAATCAGTGCCTCTGCTTGGAATAATCGGTCCTAGTGGGCATTGGGATACGTCCAGAGCTTACAGAATTGATAGAACACACCCACTTGGAATAACATGTGGGTAATCAGTCCTAGTGGGCACTGGAACACGTCCAGGCTTACAGAATTGACGGAGCACACCCACTTGTAGTAACATGTGTGGATAATTGGTCCTAGTGAGCATGGGGACATGTCCAGGGCTTACAGAATTGACAAAACACACCTACTTGGAATAACGTGTGGACAATTGGTCCTAGTGGGCATTGGAACATGTCCAGAGCTTACAGAATTGATAGAGCACACCGACTTGGAATAACATGCAGATAATTGGTCCTGGTGAGCAAGGGGACATGTCCAGGGCTTACAGAATTGACAGAACACACCTATTTGGAATAACATGTGTGGATAAGGTTCTAGTGGGGACTGAGACATGTCCAGCGTTTACAGAATTGATGGAGCACACCCACTTGTAGTAACATGTGTGGATAATCGGTCCTAGTGGGCAATGGAACATGTCCAGGACTTACAGAATTGACGGAGCACACCCACCACCCACTCAGAGCACAGAAGCCCGTAGAGGCGCCATGCTGTTAGACACCCACATCACTAACCGTGTCACCCTTCTCGTCTGCCACCGAAAGTTGGTGAAAATGGCTTCCGAGTGCAACTGGTCAGACCCCCTAGTGGAGCTGCAGACCCTCACTCGACTGACCCACTTTGCCTACGCGGCCCACGACCATGAAGTCACCATGCTGTGTTCTCAGAAGGCCATCCAGATGGGCATTAAGTACATCAGGATATTTGCACCGTAAGTGAATGCTCTAGTACGTAGCTTCTGAGGTCCCAGGGTTGCAGACTATTTCCTGAAAACAAGCGGGTGCATGAGAAGGTCCCACAGATCAGTGTTTCTCCTAGATTGGGGTGCAGGAAGAGTCGTTGGAAAAGGGCCAGCAAGGGTGTAAGTAAACTAGATTCCCGCTTACCGCTGGCGGAATTCCGCAGCTGATTTGTATAACTGACACATAAGGCCGTGCAGGGGGTTTAGCGGGAAGCACCTACCTGCCACGAGAAAACCACAGACTCAGAAGCCATTTCCTCTCGGGAGCAAGACTGGGAGGAGGAGAGGGATAGTTGTCCTTTACCATGTCTGGGTGCTACTTTGATAAAAATTCACAAATTATTTTTAAAAGAAAGAAACCACAAAGACGTTCCTAGAGAAAGGGTTGGTGCACCCGTGCAGGTGCGAAGGCTCCCTGGGACTGAGTTAGAAGCAGCTCATCCCTTGCTGAGGACCAGCAAGCATGCTGGGTGGCCTGGACAGCGGGGTGCAGGCTGGGATGCAGCCTTCATGCCCTGCCTCTGCCAATGGCATCTGCGATTCTCGGACTGAGTTTGATTTTTTACAAAGTAATTCCTATCATACATAAGCTAAGAACATGAATACATAATAACCGGGAAAGGGGGAGGTCATACAAAACTCTAGACACTTGCTTTTCTCTCTAGGACCTTTGGAAACTCATGTGTAGGCCATTGCTGCCCCCTAGTGGTTGTAGGTGTCATTGCACCCAGTGGGATTGCACCGCCCCCCCAGGCTTCATTGTGGTTCTGTGCCACCTTCAGCCACACTGGAGTGCCACTCTGTCCAGCCCTGGGCTGGGAGCTGGGAAGCTGAGGCTGCTCACCGAGACCTGCACGCCAGTGATCTTGCTGGTCACTGCCAGAACCCGGACCCTGTCCTCAGCCTAGCCGGACACAGGGCGTGGTCAGCCACACGCACGCCTTGCAGCTGATTAAAAGGCACTTTACAAAAAGCTACACACGTTTCAGATTTTTATACCAATTGTTCTTCTGACTTGCTAGTTATGTGCAGAAACTCTCGTATGGACTTGTCGGAGTAACTCTTACGATAGCATTTCCAAGGACAGCAAAGCAGTCTTCAGTTCTCAGTGAAAAGCAGCGCAGTCATTTGCTTTTTCTTGAGTGTTCAGTCTGATGTTACGCTCTTCCAGGGAGCATCCGAGACACTCGGCCACTGGGAGGCGCCGGTCAGCGCGGTCAGGGACCAGGGTCACTTCTGCTGTTCTGTGGCTGAGCTGTCACCAAGGCCAGCCCAGATTTGGGGGAGGGGAGATGCTGCCGCTATCCAGGGAAGTCCATCTTCCCGGGGCCACAGGCTACAGTGCCGTCCACCGTGAGGGCGCGGGGGCAGAGCGCCTTCTGGGCGCCGAATGTTCTCTCTCCATCCAGGCCTGAGGCTCGGCTCGTGGCAGAAATGCTGAGCACTGCTGCATGCATCCAAGGCAAGAGCATCATGGAGGACCTGAAGGGGCAGAAGCAGTCACGCCTGACGGCAGCGAAGGCGTTCATTGAGAGTGCAAGGTGCGGACGTGATGGATGAGTCTGTGATCGCGGAGGCCAGGTTGTTGGGATCCGCTTCATTGCAGAGGGAATTAATGGTACCGCAGTGGCCTGAAATGAAAGGTCCAGTGCTCAGGGACACTGTCACTGAGTGAAGGGAGGACTCTGCAGGCCACTCGAGAGGACAGGCTTCACCATCCAAGGCCTCAGCACCCCTTCAGCACCATGTTGGTGGGACCCTATGGGACCCCGTGCTCCATGGAGAGGATGCTGGGCAGTCCTTTAATGGGGGTAGGGGGTGCTCCCAGCAGACTTCTAGCACACCCGCTCCAGTGAGGGGGAGTGTGGGTGGGGGCAGCCGCAGAAGACACTGGGCTGGGCCTGTGTTGGCAGCAGGGGCGTGGGTCCTGGAGAAGAGGGAGCGTTCCCCCTGCACCTCCTGCAGGCTCCGAGCTGCCTGGCAGTGATGTGTGATTGCCGTGGACTCCCGGCAGCCCCCCAGGAGCTCCCCTGGTCACTGAGAAGCTCTCCCACCAGGTTCGGGGGCATTGCGGGGAGCAGCGCCCTGGTCATGCTGGCTGCCAGGCACTACTGGAACGCCTGCCTCCCGATGCTGTCTTCCGGGGTCAGCCGGAAGAAGGTGAAGGGCGCAGTCCAGAGGATCATCGACATCATCAACAAGACGGAGGCCAAGAAGCAGGTGCATCCTTGGGGCCATGGCTGGGCCAGCCTTCCAGCTGCACTTCCTGCTTCCAGAATGGTGGGCTGTGAAGACAGGTCTCACATGGGGGGCAGAGAGGGTGGGGAGGAAAAGGGGGCTCCTCGCTGGGCTCTGACCCCTCTGCCCCCTGCACCTCCTACATGTGTGAGTGGGGGTGCCCCCAGGCCTGCGCTGGACTTGGAGGGCAGAGCCGAGGGACAGAAAGAAACCCATCGAGGTGGCAGCGGTGGACCGGGCAGCGGTGGGAGGCGGAGAGTCCACCTCGGCGCGCAGCCAGCACTGGTTACACTGAGTCTCTGCTGGGGAGGGGGCCAGCCTCGGCTCCTCAGTGCAGCCAGCCTCGGCTCCTCCCGCTCAGGGCGAAACAGAACCTGCTGTCTGCGAGCAGGAATTAGCTGCCAAATCTGCAGTGAGATGTTCTGTTTGAAAAGCAAAACAGTGAGAGGAAAGTGCAGCTTTCAAATGTGTGCCACACACTCGTTCTTCTGCAGGAAAAAGGGAAAACGCTCCTCTTGCACCAGTGGCCGACGGCGGACTCCCAGAGCTGCGGGACGGCCGAAGGCTGCTTTCTCCCGGGTTTGTACCACAGCAAGGGTAGGGCTCTGACAGTAACCGCTGGTCCCCGGTGCTTTAAGTCCCTGCCCCTCCCCTAAGTCCCCTCACCGTGAGGAGCAGCAGGCAGCTCTGCTCGCCACTGTGCACTGTGGGCGCTGGGAGCGCGGTTCACACGCCGTCTCCTGCAGTGCTGTGAACACCCCACTCTGCCCGCAGACCCTCCCAGCCGCCAGAGCCTCGAGCCAGCTCTGAGGGTGGCAGATAAATCGTATTTTTCCACCTCCATAAAAATGTGGAGATACACTCCTGCAAAAAAAGAAACATACTGAGCTTAGAACAGTAAAACCATACTGTAGAATGTCAGTCCACGTAAAAAGAAAAACGGATGGTTCTCTGCTACACAGTAGTGATCCTTGTTAATAATGTATGTGTCTGAACGTGTGCTTAGGAAGTTTATAAAGGCTGTGGGTAGAAAAGTAGCCTCTACCTTCTAGTACCTTATCATCTATTTAGGAAGATGAAAGTGATTTAAAGTAATGAACAAAATACATGACCAAGTGTATTTAAATATTAAATTTAAATATTGAGTGCTAAACCCCAGCAGTCAAAATTGTGTGCTGGTGCTGCAAAGGAGAATGTGGGTCAGAGCCGGTGGGAGCAGACAGCGGGGCACACAGGTGGGCGTGTAGAGACAGCAGAGAGCAGTGCACACAGGTGGGCGTGTAGAGACAGCAGAGAGCAGTGCACACAGGTGG